TGCAGAAGCAGATATGAGCATCCAGCTGTCTTCTATTCAGCCAGGCATTAAAATATTTGCAAAATTGTTAAACTCTGCCACTCTCCTCACTAACTTCTTTTTGTTTTTTTATAAAAGAATGATGTTAACCTAATATTGGTTTATTATTTTCAGATGAATTAATATCTTTAGTTTTTTTTTTTTTTATTTCTAACATGGTAAATATTGATAAAAGTGACTCACGTAAACATTCTTTGGAGGGTCCTGAGACCAAGAAATTTAAGAACATCTAGGAGGACAGAATTAGAATATATCATTTGCAGTGTATTAGAGAAAAAAAAATTAGCATAGTTTTCCTAAAGGGGTAAAAATGGGAAAAAATAAAAAAGCATTTTATTTTTATTTTTTCTAAGATTTTATTTATTTGACAGAGACAACAGCGAGAGAGGGAACAGGGGGAGTGGGAGAGGGAGAAGCAGGCTTCCCGCGGAGCAGGGAGCCCCATGCAGCTCTATCCCAGGACCCTGGGATCATGACCTGAGCCGAAGGCAGACGCTTAACAACTGAGCCACCCAGGCATCCCACAGAAAAGCATTTTAAAAAAGGAAGATTGTAGAAAGAGATCAAACAGTGTAAGTAGATGGTTTTAACTTACCAGAAGATACCATCAGAGCATCTTTAAGAATTTAAATCCAATCTATAAAGACATTTTAAATTATACTATTATACTCCTATACTAGGGGAATGAAAATAAAGAGGAAAAAATGGAAGTATCGATCCTAATAGTTTACAAAATAGAATTCAAGATGGGAAAAGCACGAAAGGGACAAAGAAGTGTTTTACATTAATAAGCTGACCAAATCTACCAAAATTATTGACCAGCCATTGATTTGAAATGTGTGATCAAAAGCAAAACAGAACTAGATCATGAAATGGGCAAAGCCATAATCACTGTGGAAGACTGATAATTATATCATACACACCAAAATTAGCTGCCTGTGTATGGGCTGAGCATGGTCCACAGGTATTTTGTCTGTTACACAGTATTTTTTTTTTTTTTTAAAGATTTTATTTATTTATTTGAGACAGAGAGAATGAGAGACAGAGAGCATGAGAGGGAGGAGGGTCAGAGGGAGAAGCAGACTCCCCGCCGAGCAGGGAGCCCGATGTGGGACTCGATCCCGGAACTCCAGGATCATGACCTGAGCCGAAGGCAGTCGCTTAACCAACTGAGCCACCCAGGCGCCCAACACAGTATTTTTTTTTAAGTGATAAAATGCCAGTTACTATTACTACAAAACAAATCACCCCAACACTTGGGGTGTGGAGAGACTCAGAAGCGGGGGTGACTTGACAGTAGGGACTGGAGTCCTCTACGTGCTGGTTTATTGACATGTCAGGTGTCTGGGATTGCGAGACTTAAAAGACCAGAACTGCTGAGCAGAGGGCCCACATGCGGCTCTCCATGTGTCCTGGCTTCACATATGGCAGCCTCAATACAGCTGGATTTCTTAACATGGTGACTCAGGCCTCCAAGTACAGTATTCAAGGAAACAAGGCAAAAACCTCATCACCTTTTATGACCTAGCCTCAGAATGTGACCATGCCAGTCACATAGCATCATTTCTCCCATATTCTATTAAACAGTTATAAACTACCTACCAGATTTAAGAGGGAGGGACACACACACCCTCCATCCTAATGGGAGGACTGTCAAGTTTATGGACAGGTTTCAAAACCTCTTCAGCCTGTGGCCACACATTGATTTACATTTCCTTCAGATACACAAACACGTTCCCCCTTTCCAAAGATCCCACTCCCCCACCATGCCCCACCTCACCCTTCCAGAGACTAAATCTGGTCCAAGTGCAGCTAAACCTCCTCACTCATGGTTCCTCAGTCATAGCTCTTTGAGTATTTGGACAGTCTTCTTCCAGGAGAGATTAGGAAGGAGTAGTAGATAAATTTTTGAGCCACCTAAGTCCTAGTTCTTTTGTATTCTCTCTATATTTTGACTAAAAATTGATCAGTTCCCTTTTTTTTTTTTTTTTTTAGCTTCTCTCTCTCTTTCATTATTTTGGATAAAATAAACCATTGATCCTTCCAGCATCCTTCATGGGAATCTACTTAGCCACCATCCACCAGTGGCAGGTATTTTCCCCATTTTCCTTGTCACCACAGCCAAAAGTTTTGCTAAAATTCTGCCACTTCATCCTCTACATTGACCATCTCCTCCAGACCCTTCCAGCTCCCTACTGCCACCAGTCTCAAAGCTAGTACCATGTATTTTAGGTTTTTGTTACAGTAGTACCCTAATGCCTGGTACCAGATTTTGTATTAGTTACTATTGCTCTGATAACAAAACACAAAACTTAGATGTGTAAAGCAGCAACCTAGGATGACTCAGAAAACTAGGATCATAATGCCTACACATGGCCCTTTATGTGTTTTGATTTCCTCACAACATGGCAGCCTCAGGCTAGTCAGATGAAGAGGGTGACTCAGGACCCCAAGCACAAGTATTCCAGCAAACAAGGTGGGAGGGTGGTGGGGGACTGCATCTCCTCCTTTGCCTAGCCTTGAAAGTCACACTTTGGGCTGTACCATTTTGGTCCGCACAGTCACAAGCCTGCCCAGATTCAAAGGAAGGGGACAGGAAGAATGTCCCAGAATTTCTCATCTGACAAGTTGTTCATAAAGAAGACAAAGAAATTTAGTAAATTTGATTATTCCTTGAATTGTGACCTCTTAACTACAAGTGTTGGATTTTTTTCTTTAAACCTTTAAAAAATAATTTATACCATTGGTTTGTTGTTGTTTTTTATAGGGATCATGAATATGCCTACAGGATGAATTTTTTTTTTTAAGAACTAATATATGAATAAGGACTTAATATAGTTTGGAATAAAATTTCCAATGATAGCATAACATAAATTTTTTAAATGCTGTGTGTCAGCCTAGGTGAAAGTAAAGCTGATGCTTCTAGTGAGTGATTTGTGTTAGATGACTGACTCAGTAAGTGGATCTAGTGATGATGGGCATGATATTGAAATACTATAAAGAATTGGACAAAATTGTTTCATTAAAGAAAATTAGGAAAAAACAATGTTTCTTAAATATGTGAGTTTAAATATATATGTACGTGTTTATATAAATATGTTTGTATTCTTGAAAGTTTATTCACGTTAAAAAATTTTTTTAGATCTCAATTGAAAAAATAATGGACCAAGTATTTGAGGTTGCCTCATACTAAAGCATATAACCACTTTAGAAAAATGTAATAGTGATATGTGATATCAGTATATACTACTAAATATAAGTAGTATTCCATATATACTTTTTCCATCATGGAAAGTTAGAGTGCTATTTTTTTTAATGAATTAGATTGAACTTCCTTTATTTATATTTTTGCTATTGCCTTATTTTACTTCTAAAAACTCTGTTTTTTGTTTATTTTTTAGATTTTATTTATTTGAGAGAGAGAGAGAGAGACAGTGACAGAGATAGCAAAAGAGAGAACGAGCGGGGAGGAGAGGGAGAAGCAGGCTCCCCGCAGAGCAGGGAGCCCAACATGGGGCTCGATCCCAGGACCCTGAGATCATGACCTGAGCTGAAGGCAGACTCTTAACCCACTGAGCCACCCAGGTGCCCCTAAACACTTTTTTTAAATGCCATTAGGAAAATAGCTTTTAATTCTCTTTAAAATTCAATTTTAAAGGCTTTCATATGCGGCTACATTAATCTAGAAACCTTATTAAAGTCTACAAAATGTGCATTTCTCGGAAGCAAGATAATTGAATTATGTACAGCGTACCTGTATCTTTCTAAATGTGTTCTTCAGGTTTTGCCATTAACTTGGTACGATTTTCAACAAATTATCAACCATTAAGTCTCTCATTTTTCCTATCAGAAAGCCACTGTTTTTATCTTTTTTTTTTTTTTTTTTAAGTTTCTGTAATCTTTGATAGTCTTTGGTTTAAACATAGGGAGGTAGACTTCCAGTTCTTTTGACCTTGTTCAAATGATCTGACTTTTCTGCACCAGTCACATTTTAAAATTGGGGTTAAAAATGTCTCTTCCCCTTATAGCCCTCTGCTTTTAACAGTGTAAAATGCTGAGCAAGTAAAAGAATTAAAGGTACTCAAGTAAAAACAAATAATAGTTACTTTAAAAAAATATTGTAAACAAATGTTCCAGTTAATCTGATATAATATACTCATTTTTAGTACAGAGTTAAGCTGAAGCATTCAGCAAGCTTAATATTTTAAAAAACTTTTAACAAACGTTTAGTAATTGTGACTTACTGAAAATTGTTATGGAAATTTAAAAATTAAGCATGTTAATAAAATTTCATTTGATAAAAGTAGTATGCAAAATATTTTTTTAAATTTTTATATGATGTATTCATTTTGGCTTATGTTTACTTAGGAATAAAATGTTTGACTTTTACTGTAGAAATATTTGTTTTAATGTTAATATTAAGACCATAAAGTATTTTCAGATTAAGTTGAAAGTTTTAGAATATTCTGGATTTGTTTTTGCCAGTTTTTAACCCTTGTTTCCATCAGTCATTGCTGAGAACATTTTATATTTTAAGTATGCCCTCCAATTAACAAAAACTGTCTAAGTTGAAGTATTGTGTGTTCATGCACTCAACCAGAGGTTTCTAACCTTCCCAACTATGAAGCTGCCTTACGGAAACATAAAATGGACATGACAAGGGCATTTTCCATAAAATATACCTGTCTTAGAGCTCATACCATTTACATTTCTTATTAAAATATTTTCACAGTTCAGTGTATAGCTTTTATTCCCAAAGAATCCAATAGAAAGTAAAATTCTAAGCTGCCTCTGAATTTCTTTCTACATAATTGTAGTCTGGATGTCATTAACACTATTTCATACATGCCTTTTCATGAATTAATATAGTTTCCATTTTTAAGAGTTAAGCATCAGTGTGCACCACCATGTTGCCGTGCTCCTTGTTTAGTCATTTTTCCTTTTCTTGTTCACTTCTTTAGCATTTCTGCAGTTAGATAAAAAAGGACCACAAAAACATCACTTTGATCAGCCTTCGGTAGCACCAAGGAAAAACTACTCTTTCACAAGAGAGGAAGTGAGACAGATTGATAGGGAAAATCAGAGGCTTTTGAAAGAACTGTCAAGACAGGCTGAAAAATCAGGAAACAAAAGTACGATTCCTAGAAGATCGATTGTTCATCCCCCTAAGTTATATCATAGTGCCCTCAACAGACAGAGGGAACAACAAAGGATTGAAAGAGAAAATTTGGTAAGTAACTAAAATTTTTTAGTCATCAAAGAAAATGAATTGTAATGATTTGTAAGGCCAGCTTATAGGAAACCAGATACAGCCACATTTTCGAACTTAATTATGTAAAAGTAAGTATAGATATGTATGGTATGAAATACATAACGAGCTGGAAGGTACAATATGTGCCTTTTTTTTTTTTTTCATCAGACTATCTTTTAAGGGAACATTAGATGAAAATACTGAAAGCTCTCTTGTTTGGCTAGGTATGTTAAGTCAGACAGTAGTATGGGAAATGGTATTCCATGGGTCAGATACACGTATCTTCTGTGAAGTATTCAGTCACTAGCCAAATCTGTTTCACTGGATTGTATCCTTGTTGGGCTGCTACTTGAATGTATGAAAGACACTGATTATTAAAAATCACAAAGTTAACACTTCGGTGTTCTAAGGAATATATATGGGGACTGTTGAAAATCTTCACATTAAAGACTACTCTTGGTAGCGTATCATTTTCTTCATAAAATTGCATTCATCATAATTGCTGATGTTTACTGAGCTCTAAACTAAACTCATTGTTCTAAGTGTCTCCAAATACTAGCTTATTGAATCCTGCAATAATTCTTTCTGGTGAGTATTGTTCTCATCCCCATTTTACTGATAGAATAACTGAGACCAAAGGGGACAAGATAACTAGCCCAGGGACACAGAGCTCCTGAGTAAAGGGCTGAGCCAAGATTTTAAACACAGGTATTGTCTTAAACTAAAATTAGACCCTAATGAGCACGTACATTCGGAGCTAAAATAATTGATAAAGCTATTTTTAAAATGACTGAAACAGTTTTCAGAATTCATCCTCATTATATTTCATCACCAGTATGCAAAGTAAAAAGTAAAAAACTCCTATTTAACCATATGCTTACCCAAACTTGTACCAACTCTTGTAAAAACTTTTTATTGCCATCACTAATTTCAAGAGTTGGGGAGCTGGGAGATGTATTTACAGAAAACAGTGAAGTCTGGCTTACCCTGCATGTGGCAACGAGTAGGGAACAGCAAAGTAAGTTGAAACGAGGTTGGTGGGTAATGAGCTACAGGATAGCTTTCTGCACATGACTGTAGCAGTTTTCCAAGATTCATTCATGAGTTTTGAAAATTTGAAATGATGTCATGAACATTTGGGTTTACCTTTTTTGTCTGTTTTTACTCTCCCACATGACTCTGGAGCCTGTTTTATTTAACAAGCAATTACATAGTGCATACTAGTTTACAAATTTTAGGTCATTTAATCCTCATAGCAGCCTAATGACATAGTGTTGTGATGGAAGAGAAAAGGAGGCAGCACGGGTTGTAGGCACTTGCTCGAGGTCAGACAGGTAGCAGGAGTGTATGCGGGTTACCAGTTTGGGGGTTACTTTTTTTTAACAGCTTTTTGAGATAATACACATACCATAACCATTTAAGGCATAGAATTCAATGGGTTATTAATTTTGTTAAGTTATAGTAAAACATATATAATGTAAAATTTGCTATTTTAACTGATTTAAGTGGTCATTTCAGTGGCACCATCAGTATTTCCCAAACTTTTTTCATCACCCATATAGAAACCCTGTATCTCTTCATAACTCTCTCTTCCCCCTTCCCCTCAAGTAATCTGCTTTCTGCTAATCTGCTTTCTGTGTCTATGAAGTTGCCTATTCTAGATTTCGTATAAATGGAATAATACAATATTCATTGTTTTATGTCAGGCTTATTTCACATAGCATAGTGTTTTCAAGGTTCATTCATGTTGTAGCCTATATCAGAGCTGCTTTCCTTTTTCTGGCTGAATAATACTCCGTTATATGTATGCACCACATTTTGAATATCCATTCATCTGTTGATGGACACTTGGGTGATTTCCACCTTTTGGCTATTTGTGAATAATTTTGGAGTGAACACTGACATATAAGTATCTGTTCAATTGCCTCCTTTCAGTTCCTTTGAGTGTATATCTAAGAGTGGAGTAGCCGGATCATATGGTAATTCTGTGTTTTATCTTTTTGAGGAACCTGGGTTTACTTTTGAACAGTTGAAGCCATTAATATATAATGGCAACTCTGTGTATGACTAGGATGAAACCTGTTAGCTTCTGTTTACGGATTCCATCATCCCTTAAATCAGTTGTACATTTCAGCTCTTTTCATAAACTGGAGAATTACCACTGTTTTGTTCTTTTTACTTTGCATACTTAGTAGTTTGTATATGTGAGCAATATTTTTGTCCCATTTGATAGATCTTATTTGGTGTATTTGAGAACAGTAGAAATATAATATAAGCCACATGTGTAATTTAAAATTTTCGAGTAGTCACATTAAGAAGGTCAAAAAAAACAGGTGAAATTCTGGTAAACTATTTTATGTACTGAATAAATTCAAAATGTTATAATGTGGAACCAGTGAAAAAAATTAATGATGAGATACTTTACTTTTTTGGGTACCAAATCTTTGAACTCTGTTGTAGATTTTACATTTAGAGCTCATCTCAATTTGGACTGGCCATATTTCAATGCTGTGTAGCCACATGTGGCTAGTGACCTCGGACATTGCAGCTCTAAATGAAAAACTAATTCATGCAGAAGTGAAAAAAAGTAACTTAAAGCTGAACAGCAAAATAAAGATTTTATTATAAAATATTATTTGTTATTACGAGGAGAACTCATCTTCACATTTATGTTTAACTCTTCAGTCTCTAAACAAAATAAAACTTTTCTTGGCTGTTCCTACAATTCTTCATAATGACTGATTAATTTTTCTTTTTTAAAAATCTGTTAGAAATTTCCATTGGAATTGTGTTAAATTTATATTTTAACTGGAGTGTTTGGCACTCTTAAAATACTACCATCCCATAGTATGTCTTTGCATTTATTCAAGCCTTCTTTTTTTTTTAATTCAACCCTTCTTAATATTCTACCTTAGTAAAGTTGTGTGGTTTTCTTCAAAACTATATATTTCTGTGCTATTGTGCATGAGATTTTTTTATTACATTTTCTAACCGCTTGCTTTTATAAACTCTTGATTTTATTTATTTTATAATCAGCTACCTACCAAATCCTTATTTAGGTCCACATTAGCTCTAATAGTTCCTCTGTATGAGCTGATAAACTTTTTATTGTTTGCTAGCCTCTTCATAATCAAACACACATGCATGCGTACACATATCTACACACACAAGCACTTTCGTAGTTATGTGTCAAATGTGCTGCACAAGCAGGGTCCATTCCTTTACATTTTTATGATTTGTGTTCCTTCATTTACTCCATCTCTAGTGATAGAGACCAATGCAGATGGCTGACAGACACAATGGCTAAAGCAGTTCTGTTCCAGTTCTCTTGAGCTTGTTAGCCATCCAGAGGCTATTTAGACTGACCATTCAAAACAAATCATTCTGTGTTGAGTAGGTAGAAAAGGAGGGCAGGGGCGCCTGGGTGGCTCAGTTGGTTAAGCGACTGCCTTCGGCTCAGGTCATGATCCTGGAGTCCCGGGATCAAGTCCCACATCGGGTTCCCTGCTCAGTGGGGAGTCTGCTTCTCCCTCTGACCCTCCCCCCTCTCATGTGCGCTCTCTCTCTCTCTCAAATAAATAAAATCTTAAAAAAAAAAAAGGCAAAGATACTGTATAAAACTGAGTGTGCTGTGCTTTAGAGTTCAAAGCATACTATTAATCTTTCTGGTGAAGTTCACAGTCTTCATTATATGTTTCAAGAGGCAAATAATTGCCTTTCCTTCTCATTCACAAGGGAAATAAATAAAAGGAATAAAAAAGAAAAAGTAATCTTATCCAATAGAGGGCGTGCTTGCTACATAAAGACTCAGTAAGAACTTGTTAATTTCCAAAAAGGGGACTCATTTTTTAATTCATGAATTTTGACATATTCATGTTAAAGCATACCTCCTTATCTTCATTTGAATATAATATGAATCCTATTTTCATGAAAGAGCACCCAGAATAATCTTAGCAGAAGGCGAGGGGGTCATGTGAGTGAGGGTACTTAGTTTATATTTCTTTACTGTCCAAAAGAAATGAGATTATTTCATTATCTCAAATGTATATCAATTTCCTGAGCTGTGAAAGAAGGGGGTGAGGAGTAATTGAAGCAAGATCAGGGAAAGAAGTAAGGTTCCTGAAGGAATGTGTAAGGATTAGAGCCTAGAGTTCAAATGGAGCCCCCAAAATATTTTTAAAGTAAAAGTAATACATATATAAATTCAGAAAATTCAGACCATTCTTAAAAACATTAAATGAAAAATAAAATCCTCCTTCCATCTTCTGTTCTTTGCTAGTCCAGAAGAGGAATTTTAGACCTCTTAAATAGAAAATGAATTAAGGGGGTGCCTGGGTGGCTCAGTTGGTTAAGTGTCTGCCTTCGGCTCAGATCATGATCCTGGAGTCCTGGGATGGAACCCCAGGTAGGGCTCCCTGCTCAGCGGGGAGTCTACTTCTCCCTCTCCCTCTGCCCCTCCCCTATGTTCCCATGCTCATGTGCATGCTCGCAGGAGCTCGCTCTGTCTCAAATAAAATCTTAAAAAAAAAAAAAGTGAATTAAGGGGAGAGTGATAATGTTGTCACAAAAATGAAGATTTATAGTAAATCTCATCCCTAGTGTAAGGATTCAAGTGTGAGTGTTGATTAATCTCAGTACCTTTGCTCTGAGATCAGTCTGGGTTTCCTTCTTTGGTTATTGTCTGTGTCTCCTTTCATAGAAGAAAAAAGCTAATGATAACTAAGTTTGACTTCAGTTGTAGAAAAATAAGAACCGTTCTGGTTTTCCCTGACTATAGAAAGCTTGCTACCCTTTAATGTCCTTTAGGGTCTTTGCTTTATCACTTCAGAAAAATAAAGCACCTCTCCTCTGCTGCAGAAATCATTAACATAATATTCATTTGTTTTTAACTTTCTATTTCCAAAGAGGACAGGATTCAGGCTGGGTTAGTTTTCTTTCCAAAAAGAATAATACTTCCTAAATAGAAAAGAAATCTTTGGACAAACTATTTTGGGACTCACTGTTAGAATCTGATTAGAGTAGCAGTTCTAAGATTTTATAAACCACAAATTGGTTAAGTAACCATTCTTGCCATTTCTCAATTGATGAAACATAAATTTGTTTAATGTCTGCTATGAGCTATGTAAGACACTGGAAGGAATATAAAAATATATATAAAATACTGTCCTGTCATATAATTTATAACTTAGCTAGGAAGATAATACTATTATATGTCAAACAACTAGAAAATATACAAAACAGTGTTAATAATAGCATTAATATTTAATTACTGTATGCCAGGTATTGCTGTGAACATTTTATATGCATTATCTCACTGCTTACAACTGACTCTTGGAAGTTATTTCATTGTTAATATCCATATCCAGTCATGTTGCCTGTAATCAGTGGCCGAGCCAGGATTTGAATCCAGGTCTTTCTGACTAGGGAACTTATATTTCTGGTCACTAATACAAATGTTAAAATATTTTAAACTGTCATTGTTAAGTTGTACCCAGAAGTTCTAAACAGTTGACTAGATTAAAATGTATCTACTTTTGATTTTAGGATTTAGACTGTAATCAATACTCCATATTTTGAGAGTCTCTATAAGCAAGAGCTATTTCTATTTGATATCCCTTAGGTTTTGCTTAGCTTGTTATATTCTTATGAGACATACAAACTCATATATGATATGTTCTATGTGGTTTGGATAGCTATTTCCCGAAGTTTCTGCATATAAACTTGGTAAGTGACATATCAGGCCAACAGAATGGGTTTATTCTTTGCCTTATTGTCAACTTATTTCAAAACTGATTTTGATCTTAATGACTTTATATGTTTTACATCTGATGAACGCGCATTACAGTTTTCTTAAAATTAAAAAAAAAAAACATCTAGCCAAGTAAATTTAGGAAATTAGTTTATCTAAAAAATAATGAGGCTTCTACCAGCAAAAGATTAAAATTAGTAGTTTAACTGCACATACCAAGTTTTCCGTCCTCTCCATCCTACCGTCCACAGCTCAGGGAGTAGTTAATAGGATAATCAGCACAGCCAGTGTGGCTCTGCCCAGTAGAATGCACTGACAGTGTGGTGCATAGGAGGTTTCTTAGCTAGTTGTAAATGTCTCGCAGTAGTGTTCTCTTCCCAAACTATAAATTACTTTACAGGGCAGTATTTTATATTTTTTTCTTAATATTCCTTCCAGTGTCTTACAGAGCTCAGAGCAATTACAAACTGTAGGTAGAATAATCTTAGGAGGTTTTGCCCCTAAATTATACAGCTTCTCTGTGTGCAACAAGAGAAGGACAACATGCTATAATGTGGCAAGACCACGGACTTTACAGATGGAACCGTGTTTATTTTTTTTTTTTTAAGATTATATTTATTTGAGGGCACACAAGCAGGGGAGAGGGAGAAGTAGGCTCCCTGAGCGTGGGGCTCGATCCCAGGACCCTGGGTCGCGCTTAACTGTCTGAGCCACCCAGGCACCCCTGCAACCGTGTTTAAATCATAACTGTCAGCTCAGCAAAGAAAACCACTAACGCTAGTTGGGTCTGGCTTCCTGAGGGAGTTAACGTCTGTTCCAGCCTTAGAAGACTAAAAACTGAGAAAGGCCATTTCATGCACAAAAAAAAAAAAAGCTGGCAGGCTGAGCTCTCTGTTGGTCAGTTTACTGCTTCCTGTGCTCTGTACCTCTGCCATTTGTCTCCAGGCTCAGTTCATTTCTGTTAAGACCTTCCTTCTCCTTTCTCTAAACAGCTGTCCTCCGGAATATTTTGACTTGTTCTACCACCATCTCACACTTCTCTGGAATTACTCAGAACACCGAATCGAATAGAAGGGCGGGGGTGAGACTGTAAGAGCAAACACAAAGTTGAGAAAAAGTTTTGGAGATGATTGGTGGCCATGGTTCATTATGACATGAGTATACTAAATGCCACTGAACTGTATGTTTTTAAATGGTTAAAATGGTAAATTTTATGTATATTTTGCCACAAAAAAAACCTCAGTTGAGGCAGAAGGAAAAAACAGATTGCGCGAGAAAACTTGTCCTGTGACTGACCTCACGAGGCTGTTTTTTTAACGAGAATCCGAGTGCTGAACAACATTCTCTTTTCAAATGAAGATCACCTTGCTACAGAGATAGTTTAACTCAATAAAGAGATAATAAAACAACCATAGATCAGTTCCTTGATCCGTTTGGTCTGCTTAAATATTCCTTTCTCAACAATGCCTGTCAAAATCAAGCAAAAGAAACTTTCCACCTTCATATGTGAGGAAAGAAAATAAATTTGGAATGTTACTCATTAGATTCTGTTACTGAATATTAAAATACCATGTTACTGGATGTTATGTTGCCTTGGCTAGTTGGTTTATATATCCTTTTAAAAGTTTTACATTCTAGGGCGCCTGGGTGGCTCAGTCATTAAGCGTCTGCATTCGGCTCAGGTCATAATCTCAGGGTCCTGGGATCGAGCCCCACCTTGGGCTCCCTGCTCAGCGGGGAGCCTGCTTCTCCCTCTCCCACTCCTCCTGCTCTGTTCCCTCTCTCGCTGTGTCTTTCTCCGTCAAATAAATAAATAAAATCTTTAAAAAAAAAAAAGTTTTACATTCAAGAGTAGTTGATTTTCAAACTTCTTACCAGTAAAAGCTTTTTCTTCCAAACTAAATTTGATGCGGAATCTTTAGTATATAAAGTATATAAAACAGGTGACATGGAAAGCATGGAGGGGCTGATAGTGGGAGTGGGGGACCTGAGAGCCCTGGGCACTTGGCCTCTCCTCAGTGTCCTATGTTGGGGCCCAAATGGAAAGTAAACAGCTTGAAAGCCAGGGCTCTGTAATCATACGAATTTATAGTAGTTTAGATAGGTTTATGGTGATTTCTAGGGTTGAACACACTGGGCTTTTAGCATTATATTACTCCCATTATGTCCATTCTGTGGTTTAGGAATTTCAGCTTCTAGCACCTTTCCTAAGACTGTAAGCTGACGTAAAAGAGAGATGTGCCTGTGATCAGGTTTTAAAATCATAGTGGTTTTACAGGATAGGTGGACCCTTAGATTTTTCTGAAAGTATATTTTTTTCATATAGTATCTCAAAAGTGATTTAAAATCTGTAATATAAGGATTTATCAAGTATTTTCCTATTTAACACTAATTTGAAGGAATATCTGTACCCCTATGTTTATCACAGCATTATTTACAATAGCCAGACTATGGAAGTGGTCCAAGTGTCCACTGAGAGATAAATGGACAAAAAAGATGTGGTATATATACAATGGAATATTATTCAGCCATTAAAAAGAATGAAACCTTGCCATTTGCAACATGGATGGATCTAGAGAGTATAATGCTAAACGAAATAAGTCAGAGAAAGACAAATACCATATGATTTCACTGATACGTGGAATTTAAGAAACAAAACAAAGGACAAAAAGAGAGACAAGCAAAAAAGCAGACCCTTAACTATAGAGAACAAACTGATGGTTACCAGAGTGGGGGCTGGGGGGATGGATGAAATAGGGGATGGGGATTAAGAGTACATTTATCATGATAAGCACGTGAATAATGTATAAAATTGGTGAATCACTGTATTGTACACCTGAAACTAATATAACACTGTGTTAACTATACTGGAATTAAAATAAAAGTTTTTAAAAAGTATTTGCCTTTTTAAAAACTTATTGCTGTTATTTTGTTAAGTTATTACTATAACTTACTGTTTATTGATACTTACCTAACATTGACTTTCAAACTGATTGTCTTTAAATGAAGGCTTTATTGAAAAGGCTTGAAGCTGTGAAACCAACAGTTGGTATGAAACGCTCTGACCAACTGATGGATTATCATCGCAATATGGGTTATCTCAGCTCATCACCATCCTCAAGACGAGTGAGATCAACTCTTGGCCAGTATAGCCCATTAAGTAAGCATATTCAGAATTATTTTGTATTTATGTTTGTGTATTTCATCCTTTTTAAAAAATATAACGTGCAGGGCGCCTGGGTGGCTCAGTCGGTTAAGCGACTGCCTTCGGCTCAGGTCATGATCCTGGAGTCCCTGGATCGAGTCCCGCATCGGGCTCCCTGCTTGGCGGGGAGTCTGCTTCTCCCTCTGACCCTCTCCCCTCTCATGTGCTCTCTCTCTCTCTCTCATTCTCTCTCTCAAATAAATAAATAAAATCTTTAAAAAAAAAAAAATATATATATATATATAACGTGTTATTGGATAGAGTTTAAAATAGCTGACTTCTGGAGTGCACTGTTACTTTTCACTGGAATGTTTTGTCTTGTTAGTTCACTTAATTTCAGGCTTCACTCACAGCATGTAATGGCAGCATAGGAAAGAAACCTATAAAAACAGTTGAAAATAGGGGCGCCTGGGTGGCTCAGTCGTTAAGCGTCTGCCTTCGGCTCGGGTCGTGATCCCGGGGTCCTGGGATCGAGCCCCGCATCCGGGCTCCCTGCTCTGCGGGAAGCCTGTTTCTCCCTCTCTCACTTTCTCTGCTTGTGTTCCCTCTCTCACTGCGTCTCTCTCTGTCAAATAAATAAATAAAATCTTTAAAAAAAAAAAAAAAACAGTTGAAAATATCAGTAGTGTCTTCGATAATGGAAAGACTTAATTTCATTACATTTATTAAAGGAAGAAATGAGTAGATAACGCTGTTTAAAAGCTGCTGAAACATTCCCCCTAACCAGTTAAGAACTATTGTTAATATCTTCCAGCCCTTATATGTACTTTGTCTTCCTCACTGGATATCTAAAACAGGAATTAGTCTGTAGAGTCATCAGATATAATCCCTCCTGATGGTTGATCTGTGATCAGCACACACCCAGCTCATGGTATATCCCAGAGAATGTAGCATGCAGTGACCACGTAGTGCGCTAGGGTATGTGACACACAGAAAGGCCGGACATTCTCATGTACAGAAGTCTGTGCTGTTATTTCACGGATGCGTTCTAAACTATAAAAAAGAGAAGCCAATATTAGAAGAACGTTGGACCCACATAAAATGTCCCAACTCCCCAGTGCTCATGTGAGTCTTAAACACTCACATGACTAGTAATTCCATTCATTCATTTCATTCTTCAAGCATCACTTCCTTGGTATAATTAGTGACTAGGGTAGGTTCTTGTTCCAGTAGTTCATACTTAGCATTGTGCCTTGAATATGGTAAATTATTTGTTGAATAAATTCATAAATGGTTACACAAAGTTTTTTTTTGTTTTTTTCACTTGAATCATTTGAGCAGCTTTTTAAAACCTTAATTCCCATCCCAAATCTATTGAATCAGAATCCCCTAGTGTAGAGTCTGGGCATGTTTATTAATACATGTTTAATTTCCACAGGGAATTCTGAAGTGCATTCCTGTTTGAGAATTATATTAGACTAATAAAAATGCATGTGAGCTAGGGAAGAAAAAATTATTCTGGACTTTAGGAGAGGAAGTTTATCAGGTGATGATGTATCTATTTAGTTTAAATAAAATTATTTTTTTTCTTCATATATTTTCAGGAGGAGCTTCTAGAACCTCCAGTGCTACCAGTGGTCTCAGTTGTAAGAGTGAGCAACCAGTTTTTGACACGTCAAGTGGCCTGTTGCTAAGACCTAAGCCCCCTAATGTTCGTACAGCTTGGTTATAAAAACTTTTTGCTTTAAGCATTGTTCATCCAGTTCTTATTGAAGTGCTCTTGTACATTACTACAATTCTCTGTGTAAACATCTCTAATTTAAGATATACAACGAGTTATAATTTTATTGTAATTCAATGCAAAATTGTTCTCAAAAAGACAGTGTAAAATCTGTTTCCTATGAGGATGTGTTTCTATGAGATGTATATGTATTTGATAGAGAAATGGTAGTATGCATGTATATTTTCTCAACATAGAAATTGATTCAGCTCTTATACTGATGAAACCGTTGTGATAATATTGCTATAGCACATTGGACCCAAGATGTTAACAATACTGTTCTTGTTTTATGTGGTTTTTTAGAAGCTTTAAACCATGAGCATAGCTCCTAAATTTGACTTTTTCTCTTTGCTCCAGAATTTAGATGGTATAACTCATAATTTGATTGTAAGACTTGATTGTACACTTTCTTATTATGAAACAGAACTTGAACTTGTTTTCATTGGGGGAGCTGATTTAGATTTGGTGAGCAGATTGAGAGAAGCTTGTGCTAGGGCAGTCCTTGTGATTCACCAAAGGCATCTACTACCTCTGTATAAGTGTGCTGAGTTAGATCTGAAAAATGTGATCAACCATTCCAGACCATTTCAAACTGTGAGTATTAGGAAGTTCAACTTGGAAGGCCCTCTTCCATATTCTTACACATTGAGGTAAAATACCACTGATGATTCTGAAAAATGAGGTAGACTTTAGAGCTACAGTCCACTACATTGTGAATAGGTTGTCCAAGGACCAGATATGACCATAAGCAAATAGTTGTTGAGCAAAATAGCACCACCAGTTTGAGGAGCCAAGAAGCAGATCCTCAGTTGTGTCTGAACAGTGTTTTAAGTGATACTGTTGACAAGTTGTGTTATGTTTAGTGTTTGCTGTATTGAGAGAGAAGATAAGAAGTGCATGGTATTGAAGCTTTAGAAATTCCAACTACAGTTTTTAAGAGCTGAGAAAGAAAACTAAAATATAAATGGTAAAGGAGAAATATCACACATTTGTTGAGGCTCCTTTAAATGTCATGTAATATTCTTGTATTGTTTGGTTTGGGCTTTTGGGTTGAATCCTGGAAGTACCATTTTTTACAATGCCACTTTTGAAATCCTAGTAATCTTAATGGAATTAGTAATGGCAAATAGGGTGTCGTATAGTTGACTTTTGAAATTAGAATATTTTTCTGTCAACCTGTGGGCTCTCATTTCATAGAACAAAGTGTATCTCAGTTGTGGGTGCTTCTGCTGTCTTGGTCATCATTGTTTCATTACTGGCCTTTTCAGTATACCTTTGGAATGTACTGGAAAGTTTCCATTTTAAATGCCAAATCTTTTTTTTAAAACAAATTCTTGATCTGTAGCCACAATAATATTTGTTGTTTATTTTTCCAAGTTAGCGCAAGCTTTGTAGCATGTTTTCCTGAACTTATTTTTCTTAACCACCTTGGGCAGTAAGCCAGACTGCATTTTGCTAAACTATCAGTTCAGAATTTCTTGGTATTAAGTTGGTATTGATGGATTTTTGTCTAGGATAGGGCCTGTGAAGTGTGGGAACAATGGTGTTAAAAAAAATTCACATGACCACAACCTGGCTGAGATTTTTCGCTGCTTTCTTTATGCTGTAATGTTTGTTCATTGTTATTTGATGCTGTGTTCTGGTGACCGGGTTCTTAGATCATTTAGTGCTCTGCTTTATTTATTAATTGTAGTTATACTAAACCAAGCGTGTTTTGTTTTGTTGTGTTTTTAGCTTATTGCACTTTTAATGTTTGTATAACAACTTATCTTTACAAAGAGTTAAGATAATGCTGAATTTAAAACTCAGCATTTGGACACCTGCCTGATATTGTAAGCCAGTTTTTAAAAATTGGGTTTTAAGTTGTTAGGGAAAAATACATGTATATATGAAACCTTTAAAACCTTTTACATTCATAATGACATTGGTCTCTGAATATATTTTATATGGCCTTTGCTGTCCTATGTCCAGATACAACACAAAATTTTATAGATAAAGCTATACTTTGATTTTAGATACTAATTTAATGCCTTTAGTTTTTACTGCTTTAACAAGGGAGGTTAAGTATTGCTGATATCAGGGATTCAACTTGAAGTAAACGTTGGGAAGAGCAACAATATTCATCTTTTCAAGGCAGAATTTGTAATTCTTTTGTCATTATTATTCCTATATGATAAGTAAAAATAGAAGGTTAGGAGTTGAATATGCTATTCTCTGATAAAAGTCAAGGTACTTTGAAGTTGTTATGGTTTAGGGACACTTTTACGAAGGAATCATAAGTATACTATTTTCATTTTCAAGAACTTATAAAAAGGTAAAGGATCATCTAGCACTGTTATATATTTGGTTCACTTGGACCTAATACATACATTCTTTGAAGATTTACATCTGCAACTAGAAATTATACTAATCCAAGATCTAATATTATTAGGCAAGATTCTTACTGAGAATTATTCTCATATCTGTCAAATGTTAAACTAATGCTGCCTCCTAAATTTTAGTAAGATTTTATGAAAGATTTTGAACTATTAAGATTATTTCCTAAGGGATAGCTGTTATCTCACACTTTCCCTACTTTTTTTTCAATTTCCATTAAAAAGCTGCATTCTCCAAATAAAATTTTTCTGTTTTGCTTATAAATGTAGTGTAATGCAGTTGTTTTCAAACCATTAACCCAATGTCCAAAATGGATATCTAGACAACTTTAAAAAGAGGTCATTGTGATGCTTGTGTGCTTCTCATCTTCAGATTCAAATACTGCACACTATGAAAAGTATTATGACCAATAGAAAGTTGGAGACACAAGTTGAATTTATTTTAATTAAATTCATAAAATGTTTAATATCTTAAAAGCCAAAATCTTAACCTATACATGATTGTATACCATCCTAAAAAATGTTCTTAATGGTAATGGCTACTTTATTTCCATGAATAAATTAGTAATAAACTTAAAACTCAACATCTTTTTTTAATTTCCCAGTCTGTTACATGTTTTAGGCCTGAAGAATTAGCTTGACATAGTGAAGAAAGAAAGGATTAAAGATAACTGAGTTTGATCCTGTACCCATCTCTCAAATGCATTTTCTTTTTTTTCCCATAAATTAAGAAGTGTCAACTGCATTTTATTGTTCCCATTTTAAAAATTAGAATAATAACTTTTATGTACTTTTACAAGCCTAAGAATTAGAATGAAGTTGGAAGGAGGAGAGGGTATTAGCTATTTATATCTTTGAAAGTATGACATTTATGTGGGAAAGAGTTTGCTTATAATTACATTGTTGGTCATTATCTCTTCAAACCACATCATCTAATTTGTTCTGTAAAATTGCTATAATGCTGCATTGGACACTCTTAAAGCCTCATGGAATTTTATTTATTTATTTATTTTTTTAGAAAAGATTTAATTTATTTGACAGATAGCGAGAGCAGGAACACAAGCTGGGGGAGTAGGAGAGGGAGAAGCAGGCTTCCCGCAGAGCAGGGAGCCCGACGCGGGGCTCGATCCCAGGACCCTGGGATCATGACCTGAGCCGAAGGCAGACGCCCAACGACTGAGCCACCCAGGCGCCCCAAGAAATACCCTTTTTAAAACTTGCTTTTAAAACATCAGTTTAGGGCACCTGGGTGGCTCAGTCGTTGGGCGTCTGCCTTCGGCTCAGGTCATGATCCCGGGGTCCTGGGATCGAGTCCCACATCAGGCTCCCTGCTCCGTGGGAAGCCTGCTTCTCCCTCTCCCACTCCCTCTGCTTGTATTCCTTCTCTCGCTGTGTCTGTGTCAAATAAATAAATAAAATCTTTAAAAAATAAATAAATAAATAAAATAAAACATCAGTTTAGGAACTGCTCAGTGATTTATTCCAGTGGCATCGTTGTTATTAAACCCTCATAAATCAGTTTAGGACCTTTTTTTATGAGGGTTTAATAACAACGATGCCATTGGAATAAATCACTGAGCAGTTCCAGCAGTAGTGTATTTGAGCTCCCAACTGCAGAGTTCAAGATTGCTTACAGCAAATAAGATTACGTCATAGCAGAAAGTTTTGATTTTAAAGTTCTGGTGATTGTTTTTTTAAGCCACAGAGAGATTTCTGGAGCCACCATGATGCAGTCTTAAAGTTCTATGTCTCTGTTTCAAAGTATACTTCGTTAAGTTCAGGTAAGTTGCACTATTTAAATATTCTAAGATGATGTTTTTAAGAGTTTACTGTTTTACAAAGTAAAACTTAAGAGGTAACATGTCATTAATTTACTATAATGAGACATGGGGTTTTTTCCTAGGGACCTAATTTCACATCTACTGTTGTAAGATGGTAAAAAAAAAATTTAATCACCAAAAAACTATTAAAAACTATGGTTCCAAATTCTTAAGGTATTTATGTTACAATGATAGTCTTTACCAACAATCACACATTTATTTCATGTATTTGGAAATTATAGCTGATCTCCCAAGTTTGCAGTATGCTTTGTTTATTTTATTCTGAGAATGTTTTATTTCATGAAGAAAAAACCTGGTACTAAGTAAATATATCATCTTTGCATGTAGTTATGTAAACTAACTAGAAAAACTTAATTCTACCATTAATTTGAGAAGATACAATTTGAAATTATATTTTGGGGAATGTGAGAGGGACATGAGAATGGCATTCCGAAGATTTTGTTAACTGTTTATGTAAATATTACAGAAAGAGGCACAAAACATAAATTGTTGCTGTTACATATATTGTCTATTGTTAAAAAGCAAACACGTGCATCACCACTAACCAGATCCAGAGTTAGAATATTGCTAGGACTCACAAGATCCCCCGGGTGGGGGGGAGGGGGCGGCACTCCCTACTGGTCATGACGCTCTTTGCCAAAAGTAACTACTATCTAGACTTCTAACACGCTTGTGTGGTTTTGCCTGTTTTTGTCATACGAATAGAACTAGATTCTGTTGTATCTGCCTGCTTTTGCGGAGCATATTTATTATGTTTCTGACATTCTTTCATGGTGTTGCATGCCGCTCTAATTCATTTGTTCTCATTTCTGTATAATAGTCTAGCATATGACCACACCAGGATTTATTTATCCATTCTGTGGTTGACGGACCTTTGAGGTGGTTGCCAGGTTTTCGGTTATCACAAGTAATGCTAATATGAAGATTTTCTGTAGATGTGTCTTGATTACATGTGCCTGCATTTAGTTGGCATGTACTTAGGAGTGGAGTTGCTAGGTTATAGAGGCCACATGGAGTTTTCCAGCGTGAGTGTACCAGTTTACTCTCCCAGCACAAGTGTACTAACTAGTTCCTGTTGACCATGTCCTCACCAACATTTAGTGTCAGTCATTTCCATTTAACCATTTGGGTGGGTGTGTGTGCAGTATTATCATGTGATTTGATCACACTGCTCTAATAGGAGATTGAACACCTTTTCGTGTTTATTGGCCATTGGGGTATCTTTTGTGGAAGTGTCCATTTCTTGTTGACTTGTAGGAGCAGTTACATGTTCTGGATACAATACAGTCCCAGTGTGAGTTGTGTTACAAATATTTTCTCCCAGTCTGGCTTGCTTTCTCACTATAAATGATGTCTATGGACAGAAATGCTTAATTTTACTTTAGTCCACTTTATCAGTCTTTTATATTTTTATAGTTAGTACTTTTTTTAAATGTTGGATTTTATGAAATTTTCATTTACCCAAGCACATGAAGATATGCTGCTATATTGTTTTCCAGAAGTTTTGCCTTTCACATTTAGTTATGTAGTTCATGTGGCATGTTGTCTCCTTTTCATGAATGATACCCTTACCTTAATTATCGGCTTCCAGCTTTATTCTTTGGGCTTAATTTGCTGTTATTTTTCTAATTCCTTGAAATGGATGCGTAGTTCACTGATTTTCAGCCCTTTTTTTTTTTTTTTTTAAGTAAACTCTACATCCAATCTGGGGCTCAAACTCACGACCCCAAATCAAGAGTTGCATGCTCTCCTGAGTCACCCAGACCCCCAGCCTTTCTCCTTTTCCAGTAGATGCATTGAAGGCTGTCAGTTTCTTAGCATAGCTTTAGCTGTTTCCCACAGTTTTGATAACATGGTATTTTTCTTTTCATTAAGTTCAAAATATTTTCAAGTTTCCACTGTGATTTCTACTTTTTTTTAATTTTTTTTTTTTTTTTTTAAGATTTCGTTTATTTATTTGACAGAGACAGAGAGGGAACACAAGCAGGGGGAGTGGGAGAGGGAGAAACAGGCTTCCCGCAGGGAGCCCAATGCGGGGCTCGATCCCAGGACCCTGGGATCATGACCTGAGCTGAAGGCAGTCGTTTAACCAACTGAGCTACCCAGGTGCCCCTGTGATTTCTACTTTTTAACCCATGGGCTCTTTTAGAATATATATATATATCTACATATACACATATATATATATATCTACATATACATATATATACATATATATAGATAAAGATAGATATATAGATATATATATTTAAGAGTGATCATGCCTGCGAGCATGGGAGGGGGAGAAGGAGAGAGGGGGAATCTTAAGGCTCCACCACACTCAGAGTGGAGCCCAGTATGGGGCTCAATCACATAACCCTGAGATCATGACCTGAGCTGAAATCAAGAGTTGGATGCTTAACCTACAGAGCCAGCCAGGCGCCCCTAGAATGTATTTTTAATAGGATGTTTTAAAGTTATGATTCTGTTTTGGGTTTATACGAAAAATTGTAGAAAAAAACTTGAAACTCTAGATCAGGGGTCAGCAACTTTACAACCCATGAGCCAGCAGCCTAGTGTCTGTTTTGTGGCTTTTACCTTTTTAAATGGTTTTTTAAAATTAGAAGAAGTATTTGTGACATGTGAATATTAAATGAAATTCACATTTCAATGTTCATACATAGGTTTTCCGGAACACAGCCATGCCTCCTTCATTTTTCTTGTCCAAGGCTGCTTTTGCAATATGGCAAAGCTGTGTTGTGTCAAAAACCATCTGGCCAACAAAGTCTGAAATATTTACTGTCTTGTCCTTCCGAGAAAGAGTTTGTTGACCCCTGCTCTGGATGGTGTTTTCTTCCAGACAGGATTTACTTTTGCTCCTGGCAGGCAGCAAGGGTGCTTAAGTCTCAAATCGTGTTAAAACAAGATGGAGTGGGCATCAGTGACCACAGGGGCTATATTTCCCATACTCTCTTATTGTTACAGTGTTGCCCTTTGGGGTAACACATGGATGTTTACCTCGGAAGGCCCTGGATTCTGGGTTTTGTCATTTTTTCCCCAAGAGGTTTTCAAACTCTGTTTCTAGTTCCTCATCCCTGCGGCTCTGTTTTCCACATACTGAAGATTCCCCCCCCCCGGAGAAAACTGACCCTCAGATACTAGGCTCATTTCTCAGGGTTGTCTTCCTCCAAATCGTGGCCTTGGCCCCATAATTTCACGTGCCTTATTAGCTCCCCAGTGCCTTCAAGCAGATTTTTATTGTAAATACTTTGAACCCCTTTTCTAGTTTTTTTCAGAGGGAGCATTGTTTGCATTACCTAGTCTGCCAATATGGAAATGCTTTATAAACCACAAACACACTTGGTTTTTTAAGAGAATTCTTAGATCTTACAGTGAAACTGCCAAATGAGTTGTGCTCATCTTGAGCCTGAAGGTGTTGGGCAGCTGTCAAATGGAGCAGCCCAGTTTTCTCTTCCCCAGTGTGTCCTTAACAGGGTAGGGGATGGTGAGGAACGTGGTCCTTTTGTCCTTCCACACCAGTGACAGAAGCCTGAGGGTAAGCCTGGTCTCCTCCCCCTTTTAACCCCACTCCAGTCCCTAGTCCTCAGGTGGTCCCACTGCTCCTGCTTTGTTTCCGCTGCTGTCTCCTTGCCCCCAGCCCATTCTTCACAAAGTGCTAAAATGGAAATTTGATTATGTCACTTCCCTGCTTGTCCACTGGCTTTTTTTTTTTAATTAGGTTCCATGCCCAACACGGGTTGAGTCA